TTAAGGAGGAATATGGGGGAACGAGGGGGAGGGGCAGGTCTTTGAAGTCTCGAGTTTGAAGTACAAGTCACTTTTTGTGACTTCCTCAATTAATTTTCGATCGCTCATTTGGTCGTAGTTCCTAAACTTCTTAATTCGAGATAAATGTTCTGCAGGCAGAACTTGGGGATAGGATGGAGGTGGGAAACAAAGGTGCTAGTCAGGAATTCGAGGCAAAAACAATTCTACAGTTATTTTTTGAAGTAGCTATGCAGTTATGGATGCGCAGACTTATAAAATTCCGATTATTTTGTACTGAAAACTTTTTAAGGTGTGTTATGCAGCAAGCGAAATTTTGTGTTTCATCTTTCCAAACAACTCAGATTTCAATATTTCCATCATTTGGTTATTTTTATCGTTGATGTTTCTTCTTCAGGTAATTCGTTTTTTTTAATGAAAAGTGCCATTTTATACCACAAACTCTCCTGGAAGGTTTTTTCTGGCAAACTTTGCCAGTGAACGGGGATTATTACTATTTCAGCTGTTAAACTTGAGATATAGCATGCTAGTTATTAGCAGCCAGATGAAGAAAAGCACAACTAATCGAGAGCTTTCTGTAGAGATACATACGAAATTTGGCTTATGTGTATATGTCTGTGCTACCCGTAATCCAAGTCATGGCATATACACGAGAAAATAGAGAATACGGCTAGAGACATGCAACTGAGGATGGATTGATTTGACAGTTTAAATTAGCGAGCATGATTGCTCAAAGTAACCTACAGCAAATGCTCAAGTACTGCACCCAGAAACGGTCGTTACTTGTATAAGTGGGCGAGCACCGATGGAAAGTGGGCGGGCACCAACGGGAAGTGGGCGGGCACCGATGGGAAGTGGGCGGGCACTGATGGGGAGTGGGCGGGCTCTGATGGGAATTGGGCGGACACCGATGGGAAGTGCGCGGGCACCCATAGAAGGTGGGCGAGCATCGATGGATGTGTGCGTTATTTGAGCATTACACGAGCAACACTGGGTGTTTACTTGGATCAGCTGCTATTACAGGAATTCTGATAGCATGTTACTTAGACTCTGATTTTTTGGTGATGTTTTGGGGGCTTTACACCAACCGTCTGAGCCGGCTTGGTTATCTGAATAATGAGGAATTTCAGGCATTAGCTCTGGTGGCAGCAAATTATTTTACGAGTAATGATGCTATGGGTGAAAGAAATATGGTCGTTTCTGTAGCGGCACTGTTCTTTCTGCTTTCACTAATGCTATTGATGTTTGCTGAACGTGTCTTTGATGTACCCCTTAACAGAGGTTTTTTTTTCTTTGAATTATTTTTTGAAGATTTTGAATTTCGGATTTTCGGGACACATGGATAAGATTTAGGATTCATTTTTGCACAAAGTTAGATTAGCATTGCTGGCTATTCACAAAAGTGCTGGAATTTTTAACTTTCATACAGGCCACACTTCAATTTTCGCCTCTCTTCTCTCATCCCCCTCTTCTTTTCCTCTGTCTCTCCCCCGTCCTCCTCTCCCCTCTCCCCCATCCTCCCATTTGGCCTCCGTAGTAACAATTGTGTGCAAAATTTTCGTCTTGTCAAGTTTAGCCCTCCATTACGGTTTATTTGCCCAGGTAAGGTTTCTTGGCATTTTTTCAACAAATGTATCACTTTCATTTTTAAACGATAAACTAACCCACCATAGGTTACGAGGTGGGGAAACGGTTGACTATTAATTTTTTAAAAAGCGAAAACACAGTCAACGTCATTCGTAGGCTGATTAGCAGGCAAAGCGGCATCGATCAAAGCAATTCGAAAAATTGCATAATTGGTGGATTAGCTTATAAATCACAGCTGTTTCAAGAACCTAATTTTTTTTTTTTTGAAAACAAACAAAAGCGTAGAATTCATATGCCCAACAAATATGCTTTCAGTAGTTCTCTTTCAGCTTTCGAATCATTGAAAAATGCAACAACTGCATTCATAATAGCAAAGGATCTTCCGGACCAAATATTTTCGCACCATTCACCGCTCTTCTTTTTCATCTCCATGGCCACGATGCTAGCATTTTTTGCCGCTATTCTGGTCTTTCCGGGTTTCCGATATGCGCGTATGTATTCCGACCTCGTCAAGGATACCGAGCATCCGCTCCAAAAGTATGCATTCAGTTTTTCCCGTTTCCAGAAACTGAATCACGTCTGCTTCACTGGGAAAGATTGTTGAGCGATGACTGTAAATGTTCCAAAAAAGTATCAAAACTTTTGTTTGTAACATTGAAATTGTTGTTATACCAATTGTATTTTGAATGTAGCGCAATTTTTGTGATATCAAATACAATGTATTTGGGTAAATTTTATTTTAGATATTATATTTTGAACAGAAATGGTTTCAACTGTAATAGAATTATGAGTGTCCGGTATTTTTATGCGTTTTTAGGCATTTTGTGCTGTGTAACAGCAGTACAAAACGCATATTGTTACGGGGTTGTCTGTGTTTGTGTGT